GTTGTACTGCTAACCCAAATCCATGCTTCTCTGGAGTTTCAAACTGATCAGTAGCTCTGAGGGGAAAAGATAAATACAATCTCTTCCTGTAAAATTTACAGCCTCAGAAGTCCCCTGGAAGGTCAGCTATGAGTGAGTTTAAAAAACCCTCAAACTTGCCAGAAAAAAGGAGAGGTTTTTAAAAAGTACTATACATTAAGCATTACTCTCAACTTTGAGAGGCCTAGATATCATCTTCTAACAAGATAGACAATGATGGTTTTGAAGAATGGAAGCCACATTTGTGTTTTATTATTTTTAACTGATCCACTTTCCTGCAGAATGAATAATGTATTTGAAAGGAGTTAAAGTTATGGAACTTAGAAAGTTCTGCAGTAGTCCAGAAGAAAAACAATGAGGGCATAAAGTTGGCAAGAAGGGGGGAAAATAGACAAATAATAAGTTTAAACATTAATAAACATTATGCTCTTTGCATAAATATAAGAGGGAGTGAGTCTCACACTCTAGCAAGCCTACCAAGGAGTGTGGTAAGGTAAGTGCACCAGACACTTCTGCTTACTTCCTAATCTGAAGTGAGTCGTTTGGAGTACTCAGTCAGCAAAGCAAACGTTCTCCCATCTGTGCTTACTTATGCCTCTGAACTAGAAACTCTGATGCATCTAGCCATTAAGGGAAGCACAGGCTACTTCTCTGTGCTTCTTAATTTGAACTGAAGAATTTGAGATGGCCAGCCAGTCAGGTAAGCACAGGCTTCCTTATGCTTTTGTCATGAACAATTTGAAGTTCTCAGTGCCCGAGGTAAACTAAGACAATAAGAAGGAAAACTGGATGGGTGAGGACAATTGTTTTTACAACATCTTTCAGGCATCCTGAAAGATAGCTTTAGTGCATTTGGAGTTCAGATCCATAGGCTAAAAATGTTAGTCTTAAACATGCATAGATCTCCGGTGACCTAGTGGTAAAGAGTTGTGCTGCCAACACAAAGCCACACAGTTCAAATCCACCAGCTGTACTGCAAGAGAGAGATGGACTATTTTCTCCTGTGTGATTTACTCCCTATTAAAATCACCTGCTGGAGGGTCAGCTATGAGTAAGTTCCAATTTTACTTCACGTAAGAACAACAGCAAAACACATGCAGACTTAGGAACTCACTAGACTTTGCAAATGTAACTAGATATTTTATGTAAAGACAAAAGAACAATGAATAGAGCTAAGAAATAATCAGAGAATATGCTTAGATAAGTGTCCATGAATAAGGCTTAGGAACTATGTAGACAAACTAGCTAGAAAGGACAATATCACAGAAGTTAAGACCAAAAAAAAAGTTCAAAATGAAATTACATGTTGTTGTTATGTGCTGTCTAGTCACATGAGACTGATAGCAACCCTCTATACAATAGCTCTAAACCCTGTGCTATCCTAAACCATCTCATTGTCTCCAACATTCCTATTCCTATTACCTCAGTCACTGAGTCAATCTATCTCATCCAGAGTCTTCCTCTCCTGAACTGTCCCTCCATTCTTCCAAGCATGATGTCCTTCTTCAAGGAATGGTCCCTCATGGAAGCATGCCCAAATTATGCAAGACAGAGATTCAAAATCTTTGCCTCAAAGGAGCAGCTTGGTTGCATGCACCTCCTCCAGGACAGACTTGTTTGTTCTCTTGGCAATCCATGATACAGTCAACACTCTTTTTCAGCACCACAACTCAAAGGCATTGATTTTTTTTTTATCATCCTCAGTTATTGTGCAGCAATATTGTGGATAGCAAGTAATTGCAAAGACCATGGCCTGGATCAGGAGCACCTTAGTCTCCTGACAGATATCTTTGCTCTTCAGCACTCTGGAGAGGTCCCTGACAGCATATTTTCCCAATGCAATTCATCTTTTGACTGCTGGTGCCAAGAGTGTTGATTGTGGAACCAAGCAAGCTGAAGTTGTTAATAATCTCAATCTTTTCTCAGTTTACAGAAGTTACATAGTCTGTCAATAATGGGATTTAAAAAAATAATAATCCACAAATTGGCTTAGGAGTCAGGGTTTAAGAATGAAGTGAATGCCCATCAACAAACGAATGGGTAGAGAAGCTGTGGTATATTCGCACAATGGAATACTATGCTGCATTGAAAAACAAGGAACTCATGCAATATTAT